GGGACCCACTTCCCCGGGTCCCTGCAGATATCCAAGAAGCCACCAGAAGTTGCAATTTTCGCGGATCCACAATTTTCGCGTCCTCGTTCCGCAAGCCAACAGACTCTGGCTTAGTGTCTCCCACAGAGGCAACTTAACAGCAACCATTCTGCATATGACCAGGCGCAAGTTGCGAATGAATCTTCCTCAAGGCTGTTGTAGAATGCGGACATCAAGAATAATACGACGAGGTCATTTCCTGGCCCAGAGAACATGTTCAAGTATTTCAACCGCAGGAGCACTCCCAGTCCAGACGTCTGGGTCGTTTGCAGGGTCTGGCTGAAAGTGGGCTGAACGTTCGGTTCTTCAGCCTTGGAGGCAATTTGAGGGTTGCATCGACCGTTTGTTCTCCCTCCAATGCAACTTTCCGTTGAAGGCGGCCTGCCAACAGGGGTTTGGCATGGTAGGTGTCACGACTGCCAGGCTGGAATGCATGGCCTTCGTCCAGAAGTTTCCAGAGGAGCTTGAAACATGCAAGGAGAACCTGGAATCACTTCGACGGGCATTGGTTTGCACCTGTATCTTAGATGCACTGGCATTGGGATTTCTTCAGCGAGTTGGCGACATTGCAAGGCAACCGGCTTCCTGCTCTACGTCGGTTTTGGGCCACTGTGTTACAAGCTGGCAATGCTTTGAACAGTGGCTCCATGGCGAACACGACCGAGCGCGGCTTCAGACTTGCGAGCACCCTGCAGGAACACCAGTCAGAGGCTGTTCTCTAAGCACGGCGCTTTTGAGCTCATAGCAACATAGTCTGTACTACTTGGGATGTCAGTGCCTCAGCATCTTTTGTCAGATCCAGTTGCTTCCGCTTTGCTCGGCAATTGAGGTATTTCCAAGTTATTGGACTTGCGATCGCCGCTTCGCCGCGATGTCTCCCTATTCCACTTTGTTCTGTTGCAGTTGCAGGCGAGCGATGTGCAGGACCTTTGCTCTCCAGACTTTGTGGAAGCTTTGCAGTCTGCCTACCTGAGACGTGCTTTCACAGTGCACCACGACACGATCAGTCATCTAGAAGGATTTCGCCATATCGAGAGTTTGGTTGACACCGGCACGTTCAAGGGAGAGAAGATCGGCATCATGCCAGCTCAGAGCAAAGCTGGTGCGGAGGCTCCCGAGGGGCATGGAGACCCTTTCTTTTCTTGCATGCGGGACTTTGCCACAACTTCACGCGAAGCTTGTGCAGAAATTTGGAGCTTGAATGCAGAGATTCAAAGAGCCTACAAGGAACTCAGCCTTTATTTCGACGATCCTGCTTACGTTTATCCTCCACCGAAAGATGACCAGGATGGCAAGCGAGATTTGCTTGGTCTTCTGCACAGCTTCGTCTCTGACTGTGTCAGAGTCAGACAGGAAATCGATGTTTCGGACTTTCCTGCGGAGGTGCGGTTGCAATGCCGCTTCTCTCCGCCGTATTTGGATTCTGATTCGTCAGACAGCTCAAGTGAGGTCAGCCCCACTCTGCTGACCTCGCCCGACAAGAAGGGGCCTTTGCTAAGTGGCCCCAAGATGGAGATGCCTGGGATGCCTTCCGTGCCTCCGCCAGACAGAGCGCCAAAGCGCTCGCAAGGCCGATCCTTGGTGCTTGGAGCTCCGCCGCTGTCGCCTGGGACGGGGCACCCTGGGCACCAAGCACAGGCCCTAAGCCCTGTACTGCCAACAACGCCTGGATCCACCGGATCCCGGCAATGCAGGACGCCAGAACCAGCATACGACAGGTCTCTCGTCCAGAGTCTTGCATTCCTGCACACATGTCACACATGTGATGTCGTGGTACTTGGTGGAAGACTGCAGGCTTGCTCGCAAGAGCCTTACAAGGCAAGTAGACCGTGACTGTGCTGAATGTCTCGGCGCCAGCGCTGCGCGAATCCGTGGTGACTCCGGGTCGTCTCTGCTGCTTGATTGCCCGTGCGATTCAGGTTACTCACCCCAGCCTTTACTTCATTCACTGTTTGCAAAGACCGAGGAATTACACGAGCTCCTCCCAAACCTCATGTTTAAGCCACCTGGCTGCACTTCACAGCGTCTGGCTGTAACGAACGATTTTTCCCATGCAGAGTCTCTAAGTCGCCTGATGTTTTTCACCTGCATACTTTTCGTGCTGTATGCTCCCAAGCTGTAGTTCATCACTGGCAGCTGCTATTCTAGTCGATTTGGGGGCCATTTCGTCGCCTCAGTGCTGGTGTCTTCCTTGCCTTGCAGTGCTCATGTCTCGGCGGGTAATCGATGTGGCGAAATTGAAGTCGCTGTGGAACAGCTTCCCCGGCAATGCATTCACGAGACATTTGCTTCGATGGGACTTGGTCAACCGATTGGTGGAGAAGCCCGAGCGGCTTAGCATGCTTGAGTTGCTGCTGCTGGCGCGCCAGTTCTTCGCCTTGCATGCGGTGCTGGGCTTGTGCAGCTTGCTGCTGCAGCTGCTTTGGCGTTCTGTCACGCTATCTGGCATATGGAACGTGGCATTCCCTCTTGCTGGAATGCATTTTGCAAGGCATGAGGGAATGGGAAGCTACAGAGCTGTTCGGTGGTGGACCGCTTTCTGGTTGTTGGAAACGCTTTTCACACTCATTCAATCAATCGGTCGCACTGGAACAGTGATAAATGCTCGAGCCATGGCAGCCTATGGCATTCAATGGCTGGCTTTGGCCAGGCTTTGGTGCTGGTTGTATGTGCAGCACATTGCATCAGTTCAGTTCTACTTGAACATTGTGATTGAGAGCGGCAAAGACTTGTTTTACACCCGAACAACCACAAGCACTGGACGAACCAACCGGAGCTCATCGGTGGATCTACTGGCTGGCCGGGTCTTGGATGACAAGTACGCCTCGCGGCTTGCGGAAGGGGTTGAGAAGATGATCTGCGAGAAGCTTCGTGATGAGGCCGCGATCAGTGCCAAGGCCAAGAAGCACTTCCAGCGTGGCAACTTGATCGTAGTTCTCGTGTCCATCGAGCGTGTGAATTTGAGAAAGATGTTGGAACTCAAGGGGGAGCAGCATCGCTTGCGAAAGGTCGATCTCATTATGAAAGTGGTGCGGCAGTTGCCAATTCCGTTAAAGTTCGATTTGGAACAGGTTGTGCTGTCTCAGATCTGTCGCAGCATGATAGAGCAGGTCCCCTCCAAGTTGACGCGACAGATGTGCGAGATCGGGGGTGTCAATGTGGATGTGGAGGCGAAGACAAAGGAGGAGCAAGCAGACTTCCTACTCGAGGCCATGAGGCAATTAGATGAAGAGGATATCTTAGAAGCTCAAAACCGCCACACCATCGCAGTTGGTGGGGATGAGGTGTGGCCGTTTATGTGTGGTTATGGACAGGCCAAGGTCCGCCATGTTCCAACCACTGCGTGCTATCCACGTCAAGTTACGTGTGGCATATCCCAGTTTGAGTGATTTCCGGAGAGGAGGCCCAGGAGGCCCCCGAGCTTCTTGCAAAAGGTGTTTCACCACATTCAAGTAAGTGGCCAGCCCTGCACAGAGTTCATGGCTGAGATTTGTTGAGAGGGCGGCGCAGAACAGTTGGATGCCAGGGACACGCATAAATGTTTTGCCAAGGCATTGCTCCATGTCTTGTCGGAATGCATAGCAACCACTGGGCATGTTCGGGCCAGGCTTGACCTTGATTTGCAGAGGTCCGGTCTCTTCTGGATCTGGAGAGAGTGCGAGGTCAAGCATTTGCCCGTCCGACCTCAAGACACAGAGCCTTCCTTTAACTAGTGCCTGTGCTGCTTGTGGGAGTGATTCTGCTGTCCACTTGACGCCAGCTGAGGCTTCGGGATGTTTGGAAGCGACGAACTCACACCGGAGGCAGAGAGGCCGAGCCTCCTCGTGCGCTCAGAAGCCCATCGCCCGCCGAGGCACAGTCCCAATCATAAGTTCGAATTGCTTTGTGAGAGCTCGAGCGCTGCACAATGTTAGAATCTGGAAAGCTACGCTCAACCCATCTTGTGCCCGCAACCTGACAGTCACACTCTGCTGCAACAGGTTAGTGATACGACAGGAAGTGATCGCGCAACTGTTTGCGAAGCCACGAAATCGTCAGCATGTTAACTCGTGAGCACCTGTTATTTACACAGTTGCCTTGCGAGGCGGCCTGGCTTAGCATGGAGTTTTCGGCGACAACGCCCAGGCGGTCGAGGATGATGGAGTTCCCGCTTGATAGTATTGAGCCATTTAGAGCACGGGGAGCATTTGTATCGCAAGTGGGTAGATCCACGCCAGTTACAACCCTTGGTTTGATTGTCTTTGCCGCACTGCCATGACCTGGTGTGCATAGGAAGTTCGGAGATGTTTGCTGGAAGGACCACTTCGCTTTCACCAGTGAAAGAGCAGGGAGAGACTCCTCACAGCGTCTTGGCTTCGAGTTGGCAGAGGACAGACTCTGCAAAGGGCTTTTGCCGCTTGCAAAGCCAAGGACCCGTCATATGTCAATAGCTGGGTGCTGCCTTGCTGGGAGCCAAGTCTTCCAGGCCCCTCTAAGGCAGGTGAGCAAGCAGCACAAGTCATGGAATTGCCCCCAGGTCTCTCAGCTTCCTGAGTTCCATTTGCATCGAATTGGTGGCAGCTACGGACCTGCCTATCCAACAGTTCAGTTCAAGGTTATGACAGACACGTCGGTTCCAGACTCTGCTGCCACTGTTGTAGCATCTTACACTGAAACATCTAATTCGAGAAGGCACTGCAAGCCGTTTCACCGTTATGCTAGGTGTGCTTCAATATGCTCAACACAAGCTTGTGTGGAGATTCCATCGTCGCTTGAAGAAGTCCGTCACAAGTTGCCGCTGGTACCGTATAGGGTACCTTTCGCTCAAGAGCAAGAGGAGTTGGTTGGAGTGTATTACCAGCAAGCCCCAAACCCACAACTGCTGTTTGCTGAGAGCACATTGCAAGGAAGGCACGCCAGATCGTTTCCATTTCTGCCATTGAGGTGTGGTTCTGCTTGCTTCCCGAATGCCAAATTGCCTGGATGGGGTGTGCTGCTGATGCCAGGCAGTGCGGTCGAGCGGCGAGGATTGCCGAAGAGGCATATTTGTACACGTTGCTGCCTCAGTCGCTTCTGATCGACACTTCCCGCCAGCGAGTTGACAGCCGATAAGCAGAATTGTTCTACAAGTGGCGCTTTGTGTGGCGAAATGCGCGGTCACGAAGTACACACGGCTTCCACCCTTGCCTGACCTTCTGACCTTAGCGTGTGTTGTCTGCCCGCTAGGCCCCCCGTAACCCCAGTTCAGCTCACGTACGGAAAGGGATCTCAGCCCTCCCTGGCATTTCAGGCTTTGCTTCTTGCAATCGACAAGCTGCAGCCTGCTCAGTCAGAGTCGTGCGGGCAAAGCGGTTGGCCGCCTTCCCATACTGAGCAAGTACGGTGTAAGTGCAATTTGCAAGCTTAGGTCGAAAGTAGGACGCGACAACTATTCGGTCCTGCTCCCGGCATCAGCCGCAGCAATGAATAGCCGTCGCCCTGCGAACTCCTTCATCGTGAAGGTTGGCATGCTATTCAACGCGTGGCTTTTGGAAGATGAGCTTGTTTTTCGCGGTCTGCAGGCCGTTGTCCTGTGAGCCGCCTGAAGAGTGGTGACCCCTGTGGCGGTCAGGAGATCGAGATACAAGCACCTTCAGACTTCAGTCCTGATGCGATGGCTTGGCCTTTGGTGCCACCTGTCGCGACCCGAATACAAGTCATGAGCAGCCTGGTTTACATCGGAGCCTTACCACACCGACCTACAATACAGAGCCGGCTCGAGGACAAACGTTGCAGAGTTGTGAAGGAATAGTTTCATGCACAACATGGGTTGGCCCTTGCGATTTTGCTTCACTCACACACGCGAACTGCCACTTGCCGCAAGATATACTGGCGGCTTACTAGCCACACAGTTGCCGACGGTAAAGACGGCAGACGCTCCGTCTGAGAGTTCATGATCATGTTGAATGGCCGCTGCTGGGGGATTTGGCCAGTGGCGAGGTGCTGCTGCAGGTGCGGCAGCGAGCCTGCTGGTCACGTGGTTGCTGTCACAGCCACAGCAAGTTGCAGCTGACCGGCTTGCTGCACACTACCTGCTGCCATACCTATCAGACTCGCCTCCCAGCAGTGCCTTTGCTGAACACTGTGTGGGCATTATGCCACCTCTGGCTTTGGCGCATTTGCAAGACAAGTCGTTTCCTGTATGCACATGAGGTCAAGTGACCGTGGAGTTCTGCAATCTGTTTCGGACCGTGAGGGTGCATGTACCTTCACGCAGAATGCGTGTACAACCTTATGTGCTTAAGCAGTCTTGTCTCGCCAACAGTCATGGAGCTCGTGCTGCGGCCAGGATTGTGGAGAAGCCCTATTACGTCATTTTCGCTTCATGTTGGGTGTGTGCGCTGATGCAGCAACTGATCGACACTTCAAGATACTACGAGGAGCGCCACGAGGAATTGAGCAAAACGTAGCTTGGAGTCAGTTGCTCGTGCAAACTGCGACAACTGCTCAGCCCGCAACACCAAGGCAGAAATGCTATGTTGGGATACAGCTCTTGACGAAGCTCGGCCGTCAATAAAACCTCAGGTCTTGGACTCCGTGCCAGATGCATGCGGGGCAAGCCTTACTGCCCAAAGGTGTTGCGGCGAACGACGGCTTGCATAGACAGAGCTGTATTTCGTGTTCAAGCAAACGAAGAATCTCAAGAATTCTCCAGAAAGTAAGCATGGACGTAAGGAAGCACAGTTCTTGCCTTAACAATGACATGCGCCGCAAAGCTGGATATGAAGGAAATCAACAAGTTACAGAGGAGTTGAGAAGATATGCCCACAGCCAACTTTTACCACCATGCCGAAGGGAAGGTGGCAAACATGGAGCATGTTAGCGGAATGGTAACTTCAACTGTCAAACGAGTGAGCAGTGCCAAAGTATAGACCTCGAAAGGGGTGGGGAGTCGCAAGCCCCAAGCTACAGGGAAGTTTGACAAACAAGGAAAAGTCATGCCAGGTCACACCTAGGCCTAGAGGTTCCATAGGTGCAGGGATGACGATGTGTCCTGACGGTTTGATCAATATCACGGTCCTCGCTCCGAGCGTTGCCAGAGGCCGGTAGCGTCCTTACTCTGCCAACACAGGAGTCGCAGCAGGTAAGGCAATTGCTAGACAGGCAAGAAATTGGATATCTGTTGCCATCATGCACACAAAACGACCGGCACAAATGGGCGTATACAACCAATGAGATAAGAATCATTGACAGCTGTACAAACACAACCGGAATATTGAGGCACCAAGGAGGTTCGATCGTGCTGAATGTGCAGAGGTCGCCCGAAGTCTTCACTCGTGTTTACTTTCAGAAGTTCGGGCTTGCAGTGCGTGCACCTTTAGTCCGAGTCAGCAGAGGCTCGTGATGGAAACCTTGGCTATCGTTGGCAAGATTGACTGGCTTGCTGGCGAAAGCTTGTGGCACATGTACAACTTGCACCTCAGCTTGTCCATACGAGCAGACCACCGCGACCAGATGCATCAAGCTCAAGCTCTTCCATTGGCATGAATGCTGTCTCCTTTTGTCAAGGTATGTGTATGTCTTTGTGCACTCGTCCGTCTTTGTGCATCCCGGCTGACAGCTTGTGATTGGGCAGGTTTCTGCCCGTATTTCGCTGCATGCATGACAGCCAGAAAGCCAGTCTCGAACACAAAGCTAGCAGGCGGATAACCCATGGAAAACAGGGATGCATGTTGGCATGTTGTTCAGCGTCACCTGGATAGTCTGAGCTACTAGAGTATTAGGGCCTAGGCGCTCGATCATGATGTCGATGATCATCTGGGACTGGCTGCTGGCACGCCTGCTGGGTCGGCCAGTCTTCGGAGCGGCTGCTTGCCTCGAGTTCGCTTTGTCCTTGCGTGATTCACGATTCTCTTCCTCCTCCTCCTCCTCCTCCTCCTGCTACTTCCATTACCACTGCGACGACGACGATTACTACTGGTACTACTAGTACTACTGCTGAAGCTGCTGCTGCTACTACTACTACTACTACTACTATTACTACATCTACATCTACATCTGCATCTGCATCTACATCTACATCCACATCCACATCCACATCCACATCCACATCTACATCTACATCTACATCTACATCTACATCTACATCTACATCATCATCATCATCTACTACTACTACTACTACTACTGCTTCTACTGCCACCGCCACCACCGCCCCCGCCCCCGCCACCGCCACTGCCACCGCCACCGCCACAGCCGCCGCCACCACCACCACCACCAACACCACCACCACCACCACCACGACCAAGACCA